GTATCAAATATTAAACTGATAAGAACAAATACTACACTTGATCTTAGCCAAAAGGCCGAGAAAGGTATTCTTTTGACATCTTGGTACTTGATAAATCGTATTCCTTCCTCTATTTTGGATGGAAAATCACAGCTTTTTCCCAGTAAACCCTTGTTTATTGTGCCCCTTTTTTTAGGTGTGTTTGCTTTATTAAGGTCTTAGGTCCTAGAACAGACAAATTAGATCCCCGAGCTATTAAGTCAGTATTTTTAGGATATTCTCTATACGCAAAAGGCTATTGGTGGTATCATCCTGGTTTCAAAACGAATGGGTGTACTGATGTTACTTGTTTAAAAAATATTCCATACTTTTCTGATGAGCATAAAATGCTAAAAATAAATTCAGGACAGCCCACACAAGGGGAATTCACAACCCACTACTTCTTCTACTCATGTTTCCATTCCTATTCCTTCCTCTATTGATAATTCATTACCAAGTGTCTCCTTCTATAGAGTTTGTCTCTCCTCCTATTACTATGTTCTACAGGAGCAACCTCTCAAAGTGTATACGAGAAGAAAAAGAAAAGAAGGGCCATCATCACCAACTCAAGCAGTCGACCAATCTTCATCTTTGTCTGCAGATCCTCATCCTATTCCTAAATCTACTCCAGAAATTAAAAGTATTGCTCTTCCAATAGCACTTTGTAAAGGTCAGCTATCATGTACTAAACATCCTATTGCTCATTTTGTTACATTTGAAAATCTATGTCCCTGTTATAAGAATTTTTCTTTAGCACTTTCTTCCATTTCTGTACCTAAATTCTATCAGGAAGCTCTTTTGTATGCTGGACAGAAGAAAGCTATGGATGCGGAGATGGCTGCACTTGAATCAATTTGTACTTGGGAGCCCACTAATTTGCCAGCAGGAAAGAGACCAATTGGATGTCAATGTGTATATACCATTAAGTGCCAGCCAAATGGGTTCATAGAGAGATTAAAGGCTAGACTGTTAGCAACGGGATACACAAACATTTCATATTGGTTATACTGCAACATTTATTCTTGTGGCCAAACTTAATTTAGTTATATCTGTGGCAGCAAATAAGGGGTGGTTATTATGGCAACTTGATGTTAAAAATGCCTTCTTTGATGGGGATTTACAAGAAGAAGTCTACATGGAGCAACCACTGGGTTTTGTTGCTTCGGGGGAGTCAAACAAGGTATGCAGGTTAAAGAAAGCAATTATGGTCTAAACCAGTCACCACGCACATGGTTTGAGAAATTTAGTGAACTTGTTATGGCATATGGGTTTCAGTGGAGTCTGTAGATCATCCAGTATTTATTCAAAAACAAGCCTATGGAACTATTATCTTCGTTATTTATGTTGATGATATTGTTATTATAGGTAGTGATCAAGAAGAAATTAAGAAGTTGAATAATTATCTACAACAGTATGTTCAGATAAAAGACTTGGGCCAACTGAGGTATTCTCTTAGGATTGAAGTAGCTCGGTCACAATAAGGTATTAGTCTATCCCAAAGGAAATATGTAACTGATTTACTAACAGAAACAGGGATGTTAGGGGCTAAACCAGTTCATCCAAGTTCTAAACTTTCAGTGAATCAAGGAGACTTGGTAGAAGATCATGGAAGATAAAGAAGATTTGTAGGTAGACTACCTACCTAACAATGAGACAATCACTAAACCAAATTTAGCCTTTGCTTTAAGTATAGTAAGTCAGTTTATGCATTCTTCCAGAACAACACATTGGGAAGCAGCAACAAGAATTTTGAGATTTCTGAAGGAGCCGACTACACATCTACAATCACTTCAACATTGAGAATTATTATGATGCCGATTGGGCAGCACCACCATTAGATAGAAGATCTACTACGATCTACTGCACCTTTGTTGGAGGAAACTTGATGAATTGGAAAAGCAAGAAACAAAATGTGGTGGCCAGATCTAGCGCAGAGACTGATACTACATATGAGTTAACGTGGTTGAAAACCTGCAAGAAATGGGGTTTTCAATTACTGAACCAATGAAGAAATTTCGTGACAATCAAACAGCCATTCATGTTGCAGGCAATCCAGTTTTTCATGAAAGACCAAAATATATTGAAGTCGATTGTGACTTCATTCGTGAGAAAGTGACTAGTAAGCAAATAACAACCTCATGTATGAAGTCATCATATCAATTGGTCGATATATTCGCCAAGGCACTTAATCGTAACCAAACTCAGCAAATTTGTTCCAAGTTGGGTATGGGTGACATCTATGCTCCAGTTTGAGGGGGAGTGTTAAAGAATAACTTGTTTTGTGTATTGGGGTATTACTGTCATTTTTATATATTTTAAGATACTTATGTTCATTAAGGATATTTTTGTCCTTATAAGCCTTAAACAAACATTATAAATAAAGATATTACTGGGGTATGGGGTGATTGAATCTCATGTCACTCTCTCCTCTCTTCACTTTCATCTTTTCTCTCCTCTTTCATCTTATCTCTCTTCTCAGGGCACTGTTCATGGTACTGTTCACTAGTATTGTTCACAGATCTAAAAGTAGATATTCCTGATTTTGAAGAAAAGTCGCAGCCCAACGACTGTATAGATTGTTTAAACACAGTAGAGAGAGTCTTTGATTACAACGATGTGCCAGAGAATAAAAAGGTTAATATTCTTTCCATTAAATTGAAGAAAAGTGCTTCGATATGGTGGGAACAGTTGAGAGCAAGGCGAGAAATAATAGGAAAGCCTAAAATTGTGTCATGGGAAAAGATGAAGGAAAACTATCTCCTAGAAAATTATTTACAGTCTCCATATCAAAAGATATGAGTAGTGTCTAGGAGATAGGTCAGTGAATGAACATACAGCTGAGTTTCACCTTCTGACTGCCCATAGTGATGTGATGGGGAAGGAGGAGCAGTCTGTGCCAATCAATTCAAGATGTGGTAGTTTTGCAGCGGGATTGGAGTATAGGACCCTTGATGAGGCCTATAACCTTGCAAAGAGGGTTGCAACCCAGCAAAAACAACCCTTGAACAAGTGGGCTGCAAGTGCGAGTGATGGGGGCAATAGGGCAACAGGCTGTGGTGGTGATTTTGGAAGAAAAGGCAGCATAATGGATGCTGGTTTGACATCGTGCACTGTTGGAATGACCAACTAGCAAGGTGCCATGGACTAAAAAGGGGTTGTTTCGAGAGTCAAGCGACCCAAAAGGGGTGCAGGTAGCAACATCAAGTGCTACAAGTGCTCGGGGATTGGGCATTTCTGATCACAGTGCCCAAATCGCAATTTCATTAACCTTTCTGAGGAGTGTTATGATGAGGACATCAAGCATTCTTTTGAGTGATCCCATCTATGATGTGCCAATTGATGAAGAGGTCTGGGAAGTGACCTATATTGATCATGGGAAGGCTATAGTGATCCAAAGCAGCATGATTACACCTTGAGTAGCAGACACGAGGCGGATTGGTTAAACATGAATAATTTCTCATCAATTTGCTTCCAAAATCAGCACATAATTGATCAGGACTCTCCATTGATCTTTGATTCACTTCAAATGAAGAAGGTAGTGGTCTGATTTTTTATCAAGGACCAGGTGAAAATATGAAAGGTGACAATGATCAAGATGAGGATGAAGAAGATTTGGAAAAGGAAGTTGTTGATTTGGTTAATGAACTAGGGGTTGGAGATGATCATCTCAAAGATGCTCCCTTGGTCTATTCTAGAGCTACACCAACGCAATTTCAGTAGGGTTTAATGCTTGTGCTAATGCAATTTCACCAATTCAATGTGACTGAACCGAGTGTACATACTACATAGCATGGTTGTTCCATCGACATATAATAACCCTTGCCTCGAAGGATTCTCAAAAGTGTTTATGGATGTATCAACTGATTGCAAAGACTCAGTTTTAGTGCACAACCGTTGTGTTTTGATTACTCTAATAACTCACAAGTCCCAGAATCATAGTTTCAGTATTTGGGTTGAAAGAGGTCGCAGGACTAATGCAAAATTCACCTAAGCTTATTTCAAAACTCGAAGACGCGTTTTCTACAACCTACAAAGAATAATGCAAGACAATATGCGACTTATTTTTTAATTTTTCCTATTAAATTTAAGTATGCATTTTTTAAATTTCTAGGGTTATTTTTTTAGGGGTTTTGAGTTTTTTTAGGGATTCTAGGATTATATTTTTCAGGATTTTAGGAGATGCTTAGAAAGTGGTTAAACTACATATGAAATTACTTGTTTTATTAGGGGTAAAAGTGTCATTACGAATTCCCTTTTAAGTGAAGGAACTTACGAGGTATTTCTATAATGTTTTAACTTAAGTGGGGGTAGTTTTAGTCTTTTTTATTATAATGCAATAAAAGGGCTTGGGATTTTAGGGTTTCTAACACTTTTGGGGCGTAAAAAGTAAAAACATGCTGTGAATAACAACAGCAAGCGCTAGTTAGGGTTTTGGGTCTCTTTTTTAACTAAGGAAAGCCAGATCCACTCAAATCTGTCATGTTTTGACTTTATTTTATGTTTTTAGTAGATCAGTGAGTATTACAGGCTCCTACCCATTTTGGAAAGAGTCAATTTTTTGAAAGTGTTAGGAAGAATGGATGCCATGGCCTTTAACTGGGGCTCATGTGGTACTACTACCATGATCCGGGCCCCCTTTTCAAAAAAAGGGTAAGTCGGTGGGGATTTGCGCCCTTACCCTTTGGTGAGAATGGAGTCTGGGACTTCATCATGGGGATTGGCGGTACTACGGCCAAGGCCCGAAGACTTTGATCGTTATTGAACTGTTTTGTCTATTTTCTCTATTTTCCTGCATCAATTGGGACCTTTACTATGTCTAGTATAAGTATGCTATTGTTCTTGAAGATGAACTACTCTATATCTTCTACAGCATCGTGAATTTACAGGCTATCAATGCTCTCTCCATTATAAAATGTAAGAACAAAATTATTATGCAGAGTGAATCCATCATGACATGAGACCAATAATAAGATAAAGCAAACCTTAATGGCTGAAAACAAATGGGCGACCCCGGACTGTGACCAGTCTCTCCCAACTAAAGGCATAAATTGCCCAAGAACGTCTGATCTGCAACGGGTATGAAACCGTGATGATAAGAATAAGAGAAGAAGTCCAAATCCAAATGCATTGCCAGAAAGGAATAGATAAAAGAATGCGAGAATAGGAAACCTATTTCAAGTTATCAAATTGTTCCCAGAAAGAATAGTAATATAAAAAGCATAATGTTGTTTCGCTTCTACAAAATTATGCTAATGATCTTAAAAACCAGAGTACCCAAAATTTTATAAAAGGACTATGGAATAGTCATACTCAGTTGAACAACTTTATCTACGGATCCAGATCAATATACTAATAGAAGTGCACAAAGAATCGAAGTAACAATCATAAATGGTGTGCAAACAATCAGAGTTGAAGTTGAACACAATCTAATGAACTTTTGTAATGACATACTTTGTAATAGTTCCATCAACATCTGAAACAACTATGCGGGTGTTCCATTTCCAAAGATAAATTCTAGCATCCACCTGTGCCAAATCAAATACTAGCAGCACCCCATAAGAAACACGCAAAACTATACCAACACTAAGGAAAAACCATAGTTTATTAGATCATCACCATCCCTTTAAATGATGGAAAAAGCGGGACCTACCATTCGGTCACAACATGTCTTGGCAGGACCTACACTATGTCCACCAATTCACCATCCATCATGTCAATGGAACATGATGACTCTAGGGACTATGATTTTTCATATCAGTTGGATTATATTATACACCACACACCCAAATGGACAGGCCATAACTTCACAGCAAAGTACAAGTTATAACCTGCTGCCTCCCAAGCATAGCAGTCGAGAAGGTGAAGGTGATCATATTCTGCCCTTCCTTTAGATTCAAGGAGGCCAACTGCTCAGATGTTGGAACAATTGAACGAACCTTCTTTTTTGTATCCCTTTTGGTATTCATACTTTTTTCCCTTCTTCTAAGAGAAGACTTCCCAGAAGAACTGTCACTGAAAACCCTCTTGTTGCCATTTGGCAACGAGCGCACATTCACAGTATTTGACCTTTTAAAGCTAAAGGGCCAAAGTCCCCAGCTCCCACCCGAGGGAACAATTGCTGATGATGCATACTTATCATTCTCAACTCTCTCCACAGGAATCATTCCTTTTAGCTCCTCAAGGGAACTCTCGAGACCAAAAGAAACCATCCCAAGAATTATAGGAGCAGCTGCATCCCAAGGGAGATATTGACCACCAATTTTCACTACTAGCTTATCATTTTTGACAATCGCACAACCTAGTGATTGGAATTTCTCAAGAGACACGCGTTCACCATCGAATGCCTTCGAAGCAGCATCAGCACCCATCCCTTCAAATAACAGGTGTTTACAAAGGGAGATCTCTGCATGTAAACATACCCCACATAAACAAAAATGCAGAAAAAAGCACTACTTTTCCCTTGCATGACAAGGAAAGATATAATCTTGAGCATAAATAGAAGAAATTAATTCTGCAACTGTCATATGAACGGACTCAAGGCATAGGTGGTCAGGGTGGCGGGAGCCACAACAAGACGTCTTGAGTTCTGTTCTACCACGGGTAGGGGACCATTTGATCTACCAAAAAAAAAGACTGCACTGTCATGTAAATAAACATACAGTAATATCAATATAACCCAATGGAATATAAAACTTATAGTCCATTTGGGACATCACCATGCAATAAAATGATGAAATGTGATGGAAAGAGTGTGGAACCCATCAATGGGGTCATTCCTCCACTCACTCTCTCTCTTACCATCCCCAACGGACAATGAGTATACCATAGGGCATTGAGCTATAATATACTTTCCCATGGAAAAATGTCTACAACTATTTAAATAATATTTTAAGATTAGTCACAACAAATGCAAACTTCATCTTACCAACAGCAGGAATTGATTTCATGCTTGTTGGGCATGTAACATTAGCCACCAGATCCTCAGCCATAGCCTTCTCTGACTCTAAATTTATTTGAGGAGCATCTTCTACTTTTGGGGAGCTTGGAAAATCTTTATCACCCAGGACCCATTTCAATTGCCGAGAACTACTTGAATCAAGAGAATGACGGAATGGGGTAAGATCATCTGAATTTTCAAGATCATCGATGCTGGATCTAATGTTGGGTAAAGAACCCATGAAGTGCTCAGAATCCCCCAATTCCTCAAAACTCTTTTGGATGCTTATTGGTCGGGTTTGGTTTCCAACCTCATTCAACATGCTGTCAAAGGCATTCTTTCTTGAATCTTCGATGAATTTAGAAGAATATGGAGAAGAGAGAGGGTGATCCAAACACTCATGGTTCTTTTCATTCGACTCACACTTCTCCTCAATACTGTCAATTGAAAGCACAGTATCATCCTCTTCCTGTGCTTCATCATCAGAAAGTGAGGCTTCAAGGTGACCTTGGCTGATTGAAACATCATTGACATCAGTGAAGAGAATTTGATCTTCATCAAAATTCTCATCAGATTGGATCTCATCAGCATTAGTTGGTTTGACAGCTGCAAGCCCACCACTTTGCTCATCCTTTGAGTCATCCAATTCTGGACTTCGGTGATTTGAACCACTAGAATGAGAAAAAAAGCAACTACTTCCTAAATACAATTTTTTTACAGATCCAGACTTTTGTGCAATAGATGGTACACAAGAATCAGAGGACACTTTGAATTCTGGAGTAGAAAGTTGTGCGTGCACCACCTCACCGTTGGAAAAGTTAGAAGAGGAAGAAATTTGTAGAATTTCATCCTTCTTTGCAGAACTCTCTGTTAATTCTGATTGACGAATCTCTTCCTGCTGATAGACCTCAGTCACCAAATTGCTCTTGAGCATTTCCATATTGGAATCTTCTTCTGGGAAAAACTGCTCCACTGCTTCAGTATCAGGAAATCTCTCAATTTCCAATGAGTCACAACTCTCCAAAACCAACAACTCCGAATGTTCTTTATGAGTAGAAATATGAGTGTCTGCACCCCTTATTTCACAACTCTCTATTGCTTCTGATTGAGAAGCCACTTCCTGAGCAGAGACCCCTCTTTCTGAATCCTTCTTGAGCTTTTTCGTGTTTGACTCTTCTTCCATGCAGGAAAGCTCCACTGCTTTCGTCTGAAAAGGTTTTTCAATAACCAATGAATCACAACTCTCCAACACCAAGAGCTCAGGAATTTCTTCATGGTTAGAAACATACGTAGTTCCATCATTCGTTTCGAAGCTTTCTATAAATTTAGACTGATAAGCAACTTCCGGAGTATAGCACATTTTTTCTGAATCCTTCATTAGCACTTCCTTGTTAAAATCTTCTTCTTGGTATAACAGTTCCACTACTTTAGTCTTAAAAGATTTTTCAGGGGTTTCCAGAGCATTGCCACTCTCCAACACCAGTAGCTCAGATATTTCTTCATGGCCAGAAACATTTGCAGTTTCATCAGAACTTCTGAAACCCTCTATTACTTCAGTGTGACAAGCTGCTTCCTGGGAACACAACTCTGTTCCCAAATCCTTCTTGAGCTTTTCCTTGTAGGAATCTTCACCTGAGTAGAATAGTTCCGCCGCTTCGGTCTTAGAATGCTTTTCAGCGGCTTCTTGTGAATCGCCACTCTCCAACAATACTATCTCATATATTTCGTCACAGGTAGAACCATTTGCAATTTCATCCTTTATTCTGGAACTCTCTCCCTCTTCTGATTGAGTCCCTTCCTGATTATAGAAGTTCTCTGTCATCAAATCCTTCTTGGGCCTTTCCTCATCAGAACCTTCCTTAGGGAAGAATAATTCCACTGCTTCAGGCTCAGAAGTTCTTTCAATAGTTTCCATTGAATTGCTACTCTCCAACACCAATAGCTCAGACATTTCTTCCTGATTACCTGTATCAGTAGGGAAATATCCTAATCGTAAAATTTCTTGGGTCACCGTGTAAGCTTCTTGACTGGAATTCTCAGACTTTAGGGTACCATTGGATAGATCCCCATCTGACTTTTCTTGATTGCCTGCAAGGGAAATGACTGATTCATCTGAGTAATCTGAACATATAATTCTAGTCCCGAATTTTCATCAGTTGTTTCTATGATATCTACATGAGAAATGGCAGATTCCTCTAATTTGATTACACCCAGGTTCAGGCCTTGTGTATTAGAAGCCACTGGAGACAAAGAGAGAGAACTCATAGAAACTGAGCCTTCTACATCCTTGCTTTGCTCATCTCTCTCAGAAACAGAATTCTTCCATCGAGACCCACCATTTGAATTTACATTATCAGCTCGGAGATTGGTCGACCATTTCATTTCCAATAGGTCAGCAGCTATCTCCGCCCTCTCTAATGAGTCTCTCCTTTGAACACTACCATCCTCAATGCTTTTATTATTGTCATCCTTAACCAATCTTCGTCCAAAAACCAGTCCAAAAATCCTAGATCTTCGTGAAGTAGTTCTAGTAACAATCTCCCCATTACTTTCATTGATGGAAATAGAATTTCCATCCATATTACCCTTCTCATGTTCAGTATCTTGTTCTTTCTCGACAAGTACATTAGAGAGAGAAGATAATTCACCAGAATTTGTTTCACTCTCTCGCCCGCTTGCACTATGAGAGAGCTCTTCCATTTCCTCGCCTGATGATGGTGCACTAGAGGGAGATAAACCTGCCTCCTCCTCATCCTCATCATCCTCTTTTAGAAAGTAGGCTTCTCCCTTATGATCCAAGTACATATGGAACCCAGCATCAACTCCATTTACGCATATAGTAACCACTTTCTCATTTCTCTTCAGCACTCCTTGAAACTTGCCAAACTTCACATACCAAGGTGAGGTCTTGAAACTCCCATCTTGTTGCTCAACAACGATAATATCTACTGCACCACCAAATGGATGGAAAGGGCCTGCGACTGTGTAAACTCCTCTTGAAATATAACTGCCCAACCGCCCGACTGCATACATCGTTCAAAAACCTAAAAATCAGAAAAGCAACGGAATTACAAGAAAACCAGCACCATTGTTACCTCAATCACTCAGAGACCATAAACCGAATCCAAAACACTCAATTTCCAACCATCCAAAACTCCAAATTTGAAAGAGGAAAACCCCAAATCAAGAAACCCACATGATTACAATCGGAACCAGAATAATTGCCACCAGAAATCCCTCCAATCAAAAACCCATATTTTAAATCATCAATTCCCCATCCCCCACAACTCCGAATGGAAAAATTAAGACAGAAACCCAGATAAGGAACTTACTGCATTATAGTCGAACAAGCACCATTGCCGTCTTGAATCACTCCAACCCCACCTTCAAAATCCTCGAAATCCGGCCACCCACAATACCAAATCAAGAATCCAAAAATTGAATGACAAACAAGGACCAATTTCAAGATCCTTATCTACACAAGCTCACAAACCACCCGAGTGTCCAAATAACTCAAAATCCCATCAAATTCTTATCGAATTGTACAGCTTCTTCAGCAAAATTGACCTCCCAAATGCATTAACCAAATCAGATGCTTGACAGAATATATAGAAGAGGCAAAAACCCATCATCTCCAGCTCTCAAACGATCCAGAAATTTCACAAGGATCGTGCAACTGTATCGATCTCCTCCAACTTCTGATCAAATTGCCAAGATAGACAAAAAAAACCAACCTTTTCACCAAAACCGGGTACAATACAACAAATAGGAAACGAGGAATATTCCAAAATATCCATCAATACCATGTCCCATATGTTGATTTAATAGTCAAAAGCTAAGAGAGTGATTGCGACTAACCTCGAGGGCAGAGGTGGTCCAAGCTGAATGGGTCATGGCTTAGAAAGCTCCAGTCCGAGGTTCGATGGCGCTGGATTTTCTCGCGGATCATAGAAACTGCCATGAATTTGGAATTTGGAGTTTGTAGGTGAAAGATTTGAGACGTCAGCGTCAAATCAAAATGGGGATTTTTTAGGCTATTGATTGAAGCTGAGCATCATCATCCCACTCAAATTCTAGAGAGAGAGCGTTTTCGATTGTTAACCCTGGAAGAAGTTATGATTGGCTGGAATTTTGGTAATAATAAGAAATGGCCTTTTGCTTTTGAAAAAAAATTATATAAGGTATCAATCTTATACTATCGTACCTCAATAATTCAAATGATAAGATTGTTTTGATGCTTAAAAATCATCTAATTAATCATGTTGACCTCTAATCTAGATATATGGATGCGGCGAGAAAATAAAAAAGAAAAAAGATCCTAAATCTTGAAGGTAGTGCATCTTGCAGCCCCATCTAGAGTCATCTATTTTTAAGGTTTTCAAGAGTTCATACGTCTATTTGATCTACTTTATTTTCAAAGGTCTAAATTTCATATGGTCACAAGGATTTTTGGCACTATCATATTTTGATGCCATTAGAAGTACGTCTTATTTTGATTGTTTAATGCTGCAACCACAACTTTTATTTTATGAGTATTAATAAGATGGCTTTTTCTTGCATCATGTACAAGTTGTCTTAAGAGTTGCTTGTGATTAGGGACGTTTTTGGGAGACTAGGAAGTCCATAATGTCTCATCTCATTGCATTACAACACAAGCACACCGCACACATCAATAAAAAAATTTATTTCTTATTCACCTCGCAACAAATGCACCTATTAGCATACAAATATTTTTTGTAACCTAGTATTTTTTGGAGCGGTAGAGAAGTCCCATGAAGTGGATGTTCATATGGTTCACAAGCATCCCACCAATTCATGTGAGAAGTGAATGAAATGGCCAGTCGCTGTCATCTTCATCTAAATTTAACTTAAATTATTTGGGATCGGCTATATGAATCATACATCTTTATTATTTTCTATCAAGGTCGTATCTTCAGTAAGACTAAAAGTCACTATATCTTTTCTCATTACTTTATCTATGTCCTTTTAGGCTTTTCTTGTGCCCTTTTAGAAGATTCCACTTGAATCAAATCACACCTTATATATTTTGGAGATAGCATACTTAATCTTGAGATGAACCTCAAAGGGAAAAAAGAAATGATTGGTATGCACTTCATATCAGCTTGAAAAAATATAACTTACTAAGTTAACGTTTGGAGGCTTTTGAAAAATAAAATATACGAAACGGACATCCATCGAAGAGCCTGTGACTTTGTTTTTGTGGAATTTCTATAAAAATATCTTTTATCTTTTGTACAAAGAGGTCACAATCATTCTTGTCCCTTAAATTTCAAAATGAGAGGTTGTAAGAGTGTCGTTGGATAGACTCAAAATTCAAAAAATAAAAAAACAAAATCTCGAACTTATGACTCACCCCATTCCATCAATTTAACATCTAATGAATGGGAATAGTTATGTCCTCCTTTGTACAAAAGATAAATGATGCGGTTTGTATAAAGTGGAGACTTTAAACAATCAAAATAAAACACACCTTCAAATAGTATCGAGAAATGTGGTTTCAATGTTGGAAGTCCTTGTGATAGCCTTAAAATATATTTTCATCTTTAATTATAAAATTTAAAGCTTAAAAAATAGTGTATATCGAGCATATGTATGAAAACTTAAAAAATATTGAAAATTGACGGACAAATAATATGTTACAAGATGCACTATTTTCAAAAATTTGAAATCCATTTTTTTCTAATGTTTATGCATCTTGATGTCGAGATGATCAATTTGATGATATTTGGGCATCAAAACAACATCTTCTAATTAAAGTTTTGAGGTAGGATCTAATTTGATTTTTGAGAGCCTCGACTCTATATGAACTTTTTCCGAAGAGTAAATAATCTCTTTGTAGAATGAGGGCTCCACGAGCACGTGTAAACGACATTCGAGAGGTGTGGCCAGTCAAATGCTCGGCTGGTTACATGGAATTCATGGACGGTGGATGCTAGTGTGTCCATTCACTTTCGTTAACTACAACCGTCCGATTGTAGTCGGTCCGATTATTGGTGGTATGCAAGATTGGTAGGTGGAAACGCACGTGCTCAGAGACGCCGGCGTTGACGCAAGAGGCTTCTAGCAATGCAACTTGGACAAAAATTGCCCTGGCGCGGACAAATAAACATTTGAAGGCTTGACAATGAGAGGAAATAATAAATAAGCAGCATTGGTTATATTTAATATTTAAATTTTAGTTTTTCGATAAATTGGTGTTATCAAAATTTTGGGCCTCTATAGGTAAATGGGAAATTTATCAAGTTACCCAAAAGAAAGGAATAATTCAAAATTTTATTTATATTTTTTAAAAAATTTTGAAAAAGCAATAATATACGATTTTTAGTTATAATAGTAACAATTAGATAGAATGCTAGATAATTCATCTCCCATGAGCATTTTAACGAACTTTTCAAAACAAATTGACCCCCTAAAAGTTAAAGGCACTTTAGCCGATTTTATGTTTTTTTGTGCTAAAAGTAAATGATTTGGTGTACAACTTTCTTTTGGAAAAGACACTTTTTAAATGCCCTTTTAAAAAACTTGGAGTATTTTTTAAAAAAAAAATTTAAAAAATTGAGGTTTTCACAATGATTTTGCTTGCTATGCTAAAGTTGCCAACTATGCTCAAGATGGTGTGATTGATGACCTAATTTAACCAGTTTTGGGAAAACAATTGGTAGTATTCGGTGTGAGAATTAAACCATGCTCGAGATGGTGTGATTGGTGACCTAAATTAAACGACAACAATCTCTCTCTCTCTAATGAGGTTGGAGCCTCAACTCAAAAGAGTGAGAACAATAAATAGGAAATAAATAGATTAGGTAGCAACAACATATTAGGTCATGTACAACGAGCCAGAGTCGTGGTTCTTAAATAATAGTATTCTAGCAAACTGGTGCATTCACTTAGGAACACATTGTACACTTGCTCCCAAAGGCAAAACACCTAGGAGGAACATTCCAAAGTATGTTATTGTGGTAGAAAAACTTACGTTTACTTAGAAAAACTTACATTTACTTAGGAAAGGGGCTGGTCATGGCGGTAGCATCCCCACATCCAGTTATCATATTGTGGTATCCATTCCTATTGTTGATATTCTCAATTAATAGCTTCAAAATCTAACTACCTAATCTATTGGAAAAAATGGGTAGGGGCCTATCTTTCCCACTGAATTACTCAAAAAAAAAAAAACCCTTTACATTAATTCCCTTGGTCAAGTGACCTATTCTAAGATTCAACCATCTGAAAATTTTATGGTCCACGTGCAATCGTTGGGTGCGATTTTCCCAATCAATTCAAGGCCGCACATTAGGGGAGGCAATAGGTCGTGTCCAGCCGGACCTGGACCCAACCCATTCTGTACTTGTCAGGTCCTGGGTCTGGTCGTGTACATAGCCATCTTATGACTATGAGCTTCATATATTTTTTTTTCCTTTTTTTTTTTTACCATCATATACCTATATTATTGGCAACAAAGTCACAATCACCTACTATTAGATTTCAAGCCATCGGATTTGTTGTTTAATAGCTAAAGATAACTACGAGTTCTTATGGTATATGATCCTTAATACACCCAAACGAATAGGGTTTTACTTAAAGTACTTTATCTCCAACGATTTGCAGGTACAGGTCCGGTCCAGGACCCGAATAGTGTTCGGGTCAATTTTTGGACCCGGACCCAACTCGTCGGCTCCATAAATTGGACCCATACCTAGACTCGAGGTCAGGTCTATGCGTCGGGTCTAAGGTCTAGTCGGGTCCATTGCCACCCCTATCACACATTGATTTTTTTCTTAGTTATTGTTTTTTATGTTGGTCCCTAGGTTGAATAGGTCATATTCTTAAAAGACACCATGTGATGTGACTATCGCTACATTCTCATGAACTTTGATACAAAATAATAATAATAATAAATAGAATAAATATACTGTGAAAGGTAGACTATGTGATAAAGCACAGTGTATATGTATTTAAATTTTTTATTTTTTTACACCAACAAGATCACTTACAATGCCCAAGTATAAATAAATCACTCTTGAAATAAACAAACAAATAAAAATGGCTCTCACTTGCTACCATTTTTATTTAATAAACAAAAACTTGACACATTGCTTTATGGGAATAGAAGAGCACAATAAAAAAATAAGATAAAACAAGTAAAATTACTGGATATTACCTCAACCGGGCTTAGTACACCCTATGTCGAGTTTATTCCTTCTAATGGTGCTCGAAATCAATGATCAGTCTCTTGACTCTACTATATATGGTAAAACCCTCTCAAGGACATATAGATATCGATCTAGAACCAACTTGTTAAGGCCTCAATACCCTCAGTCTTCCTCAAGCCCACTTGGCTTGATCTTATAGAGATATACTAAACAAGAGAGAAAAAGAGATCTAGCCTTGGAGCGTGCCCCATTTGCAACCCACCAAGAGAGCGAAAGATTTCTTACTTGAGCATGGTCCCGAAAGAGAGAAAGGGTGAGCTGTTTGAGAGAGAAGAGATAAGAGAAAAGAGGTGTAGAGAATTGAGGGGAAGAGCATCTGTTTATAAATTTTATAGGCCTTGAGGTTTGCTATCTTTAGTTATATCAAATCTAGATCAATGATCTAGAGAGACTTGTAGGATGAGAGATGTGAACTATTAATTCCTTAGATCCACCACAAAATTCAAATGAAGACACTGACTCGAGCAAGAAACAAAGAACAAGTGCCCCAATTCACAAATTACAAGAGCGTCAGATCTCCACAAGAAGCGTGGCTCCGTAATAGGCCATATTATAAAGGAATGACTTACAAAATAAATACACTTGTGAGGATGAAACTATTTTGCCATATTTCATAAACTCAGAGAAGAGGGACTTCTTCTACGCCCTAAATATCAGTAGCTCACAAACGGGAGTGAAGTAGATAAATTAAGGATGGAAAAGACACTGTATCAACTAACCCAATATTCCCCACCACAATGAGTTGGGGGCGAATTTTGAAAATACCCATCCTTAAATCAATTGAGGGATGTGGGCATCTAGAACCCCATCAATCACGTACTGCTCTCCTAATGTACACCCTTTGAGTAGACAGCTTTCATTACAATAGCTGCATGTTGCACATGGCACTCTGTTGTTCTTTAGAACAGTCGCACATTGCACCCTTTGATTATGCACTCTGTAGTAAATGAATACATCATGGTCATAAATGGACAAACAACACAGTCTCGGTCACAAACTCACCCAAATGCTACATCCTATGAGGCGCCCACTATTGCTCTTCAACTGAGATAGGATCTGAAGTAGAATTTGCCTCTTTTGATGAACCCCGAGTCATGTTTGTAACTAGAAAGAATATGCATATGTTAAAGGAATCTACTGCATGGGTTATGATCGAGGCCGATGTGGACCCGACAAATTACAGAAGACAAACTCCTACATTATAAGCACTAGTTACCTCATGGACGAAGAGGGACTGCTATAATCCTCCTATTGAGGTTGTGGATATTCCATTACACCTTAAAAGCTAGGGGATGGGGAACATGCCAAGGTCCATGCGTTGATTGAGATCAGCTTAGGTTATGAATCTGACTCAAACCCAGTCCAGATCCGCAGGACCCTGTTCTCAGGAAGGGTATGCGCTTCTATCCAAAGGCCAGTCTCCATATTTGTCTCCTCCAGTATCTCAATAACATTTTTTTTAAGGGATTGTCTACCGTTTATCTTTTGTAATGATGGTCACAATCACTCCGACTAATTAAATGTCAAATTGGATAGCTTGGGATGAGTCACGAAGCCTGAGAATTTTTTTTTGGAACTTTAGATCCATTCAATGACACTCTAACAACCACCCATTTTGAAATTTAAAGGACAAGTATAATTATGACCTCCATGTACAAAAAATAAATGAGCTTTTTGTAAACAATTCCTAATGTTATTTTACCCTCTCACAATCTAAAATTTTAAAATACATTACTATCTCATTATCTAAATTCAAACTAACAAAATCAATAGTTCGGGAATAACATACTCCATTCAATGCTAATGAACAATATTATCTCACACTACTGTTATTGTTCTTTAATGCATTTAAAGTAGGGTGTGGTTTCTATAAGGTTGCAACCTGAAACAATCCAATTAAGGCGTACATCCAATTTTTATCATAACATGTAATTTTGGTGTAAAATTTTATTAGGATCATCTCAAAATCTATTTTCATATCTAAATATAAAATTTTAAACTCAAAAAATAGTTAAAATAAAGTAGATATATAAATATATGAAAATCTTGAAAATAGACGGTCTAGATAATGTGTTGAAGATGCACTATTTCTGGAACTCAAAATCTTTTTTTTTTTTTAATATTCATACATATCGATGTCGAGATGATCAATTAGAGGGTTGACAAACATTAAAACAACCTTTTCCAATGAAATTTTTAGGTGCATATGTGATTCTACATTTTAAGGTTGCAACCTTATATAAACTTTTTCCTTTAAGA